ATAAAATTTGTGCAGATCCATTTTTTCGACCAGTGAAAGCCACTGCGTATGCCACCGGGATATGTTCAAAATCCCTGTCATGCATTGGGGAAAAATTTTCTATAGAGTCATGTACACTTGATGCCTTTAATACTGACTCCTAAAAGTAAATTAGATCGCAGAATTCGGGTAACCCTTTGAGCATTGCCGGTGACTGCCTTTTGAAAAGCTTTTGTATCAGTTCTACCGATTATTCATTTCCTAAAACCTTTTCATATCGCTGGCAAATTAATTAATAACATTTTTCAAAAGAAAGAAAAAAATTGATTTATAAATTCATCTATATTTTACTGAATTAATTGCCAGTCCTTGCACTCCCTTGTCCCAGTTTATCAAGAGGTGGCATATGGATAAGACAGATCACACATCTACACTGGATGAATCATTTGAGTGGACTGGCGCACTTTGTTTTCCTAATACTTATCCGCTGGATAGTGATTTGTACGGTGGATAGCGCTATCCAACATTTGAACCTGACGGGAGCCAAGACAGTAGAAAGTCGAAAAGACCACGTTTTCGAGTTGACTTTGTAACCAGGCTTTCTTACTTAGCAGCCCGGTCTTCTCTGGAACCCAGACCCCTTTAAGTGTTGATTCTTTGTTTCCTTTTTTTGTTTTTGTTTTTGTTTTTCCCGACTGACCGACCCACCATCACAAGGGACGGGGCGATGGGAAACGAAACATTTTGGGATGGCCTTTGAGCTAAGTAAAAACTGCTGTAAATTCTAAATTCAAATTTGTTTTATTCTTTTAAGCTTCTTGAATGAAGAACTTCAGTTAAAAAGTCAAATAATTAGTCTCCTGACTTTTTGGTAATAATGTATTGTGGTAGAAATAAATTTTTCGTTGTTTCTCGGCCTTTTCATTTTCGTAACTACGTCATGGGGTAGCCAAAGAAAAAAAAAAGTGCAAAGTAAAGCTCACGTGCAACATGTTAATCGTTTTCTTCCTTGCCAAAACAACAACTTAATCTCGACACACATCAAGGAATTGCATGAAAGTTAATGAATATTTGAACTAGTGTGAGCAACAAGAACAAAAAAGACTTGTGGACTTATTCTTAACGTTTAACAACTCGCCCCAGCTGCTTTGTAAATTTCATGCAAGAATGGTGAATTTTACTGTTTCCTGGTGTTTGCGTGACACGCTTCGTGTTCAGTGTGCAAATATTCATACAGATTTGCATTTCATTCTCAACATCTCTTCTAGATATCAAATAATAGTATCTCCTTTGCTTAGTGGGGACTTTACGGTTAACCTGAAGTTTGAATGTACCCTGTGACACCTTCCTGAACATCAGTGTCTTATCAAATAACACTGTAACTTTTGTCTAACCTCGAACGCACTCTATGATCTACGATTACTTACTACGTGTAGTTAAATATTATTTACAACTTTGGTGAGTTTTATGGGAGGTGCTTACCCTGCTGCTCCTTTCCTTGTATCGTAAAACACGGGATAAGAATAACCAACACCACTAAAGTGCAGACTCTCTCCATTTCTAAAACTCAAATCAACTGACAAACCAGTTCAGTGTCTTGAGTTTTATTTCTGTCATAGCACAGGCATACCAATCTACATTTGTGTTGACCTATGCAAGTGTTTGGGTTAGAGTTACGTAATTTGCAACGCCACCGCAATTATTTGTTTTGGGATCATGAGAATTTGTAAAATGTAACCTACGGTTGTATTTTAACCATTAGAACGGTTTTACTTCACCCGTGAAACAGTCAATAACAACTTGTGCAAAATATCTGCAAATAAACAAAAGAAAACAATATATTTAGTGCATAATAGTACGTAGTATTCTACGACCTATTTCATGGGTGAAGTTAAATCACTCTGAAGAATTTAGATGTTCACCAAACTAAACTGAACGAAATACTCCCCCTTATACTGGATGCTGTGACGCCCGAAAGTAGAGCTTGGGCAACCTGTTGTAAGAGAACCTTTAGAGGAAGCAGGAACTTGGAATTTGATCGGTGATGTGGAATCGAATATCAGAGGGAAACGGAAATCAGCGCTTATGAAGCGTGGGTAGGGAACAAACTTTCAAGGCAAAACAAATAACCTATTTTTTAGATATTATCGAAGAAGTCTTCAAAAAAAAGCAATTGTGACTATTAAGGTTGAGAATAAGGAGGGATATTGATAGAGTTACTTTTC